TGGTACCAGAAGATCTCAGTTAATATCTGCCTAATAGATTTCTGAGCCAGCCCTGGGCCAGTCTCTAGCATGAGCACTGCTGCTTGCTTTCCACTCTTCTACCAATACCTCTAAGGTCAGCCTTGAGCCAGTCCAAGGCTGGGCAGTGGGGGGGGGGGGTGCAGTCCTGACACAGGCAGGAATCCTGCCTTCAGGGATCAGTAGTGTGATCAAATGCGGGGAGGCACCCAGGAGGCTACAGGAGGCCAGAGGAGCCTGACYTGCCCAGGGGTGGGTGCAAGGTGGGCCTTTTAGTGCTTGCTGACCCAAGACTTGGAAAGTGGATATGACAAGGAGGAGAGCTGTTCAAGGCAGAAAGAACAGCAATGAAAGACAAGGTGACTGGACAAGGGAGTGCAAGTAGTGGGGGTGACCAGGTCAGGGAAGGTAGTGGATGGATTTCAGCTTGCAGTTTAGAGAAGCAGTGCAGTCTCATGTTAATGAGTGGGTCTTGAGCCCCACTTCCTTCATGTGAATTCTGCTTCTGTTGCTTGGCAGCAATGCGATGTCGAGTAAGCCACGTCACCTCTCTGTGCCTCAGTTTCCATGTGTGTAAAAYTGTAACAGTGGTCCCCTTTATGCTTTGAATATAACCCTGGCTGTTCTGCCACTGCAATTTATTTTAATACGGATGTGTTTCTTTCTCTTCCTCTCTCTCTGCTCCTCTCTAATCTCTCCTCCTCCCTAATCTTAGGGGAAATGGGATTTTAACCTTCTTACCCATCCTAGGCAGAGTTATCTGTCCCTGAGTTCACACCCAAGTGAACAAGTTCTAAGCCAGCCTCAGCAAGTTAGCAAGGCCCTAAGCAACTCAGAGAGATCCTGTCTCTAAATAAAATACAAAATAGGGCTGGGGATGTGGCTCAGTGGTCGAGTGCCCTTGAGTTCAATCTCTGGCACTCCTCCCTCCCCCATCAAATCAAAAATAAAAAGGGCTGGGGATGTCATTTAGTGATAAAGCACTTCTGGTTCAGGAAAGAATCAAAAGTTACTAGACCTCTAGAGGTCCTTTTTGGTCAAAATAGCCACAGGGCGAGCTGAAATTCAAGGGGAGAAGAAACAGGCTTTATCTCTTATTGCAGTTTGGATCTCCAGATCTCTCAAAGGGGGAGGCTTCAGGTTGAAGGCTCTGTGTTGAGGGAGCTCAAACTGAGAATGCAACCTGAGAACTGGCCCCTTTGGGGATGTAGAGATGGTCACATAGTGATACTATTGGGAGGCAGCCCAACTCTTAGGAGGTGGAGCCTGGTGGGAATAAGTTAGGTCATTGAAAGGAATATTGGGAGCAAGCCCCTGTTTCTCTTTGCTTCCTCCTTTTGGTCCAGGAAAATGGTTTCTTCCATCATGATGTACTGTGCTGACACTGTGTGTGTGTGTGTGTGTGTGTGTGTGTGTGTGTGTGTGTGTGTGTAGGTACTGGGGATTGAACCCAGGGACACTCTACCACTGAGCTATATCCCCAACACTTTCTATTTTTTATTTTGAGACAGAGTCTCACTAGATTGCCCCAGGTTTGCTTTCCTGCCTCAATCTCCTAAGGAGTCTATCTACAGCTTGTCTGTCCCGCGGGGCAGTTCCATCCCGGCCTGAGTCTCTGCGTCTGTGGGAACTGGTGAGTAGATAGCAACAGCCCCCCTATTGGGTTCAGATCTGAGCACTGGGGGTCCCCCGGGTTAGCGCAGCTCTGGCTGCGGATCATAACCTCACCGAAAGGCTACCTGTAGTTCCAGAAGACGCCGAAAGGGGGCAGAGGCGGCCGTCGAATAAGGGGTCGGGCTTTGGGGAGCCTCTGGCTGCTACGGGTTTCCGATGAGGAAACCGTGGAGTGAGTCCCGGGARACCGCGCATCCGGGCGCCCCAGCCCCGGATTCGAACCCAGGCTCCTCCATTTGCCAGGCAAGCTCTTCTCCGCACCCCGCAAACGGGTCCCTGTAAGGAGTAAATAATGTGACTCTAAGGTCCTTAGTTTCTGGACCTGAAGTGGAGAGCCTTGGACCTCTCCTAGGGACTGTGGCATTTACCTGAGAGGAAAGAATTTAAGGAATTTTTATTTAGCCACTGCCTGATACGGAGTGCTGAGCAGGGGGATGGCATGATTAGAAAGTGGTGGAAAAGGTAGAGAGAGGGGGGGAAAAGAAAGGAGAAAGGAAGGAAGGAAGGAAGGAAGGAAAGGGAGGGGGTTAGGATTAGGTTAAAGCAAAACAAAGGAAAGAGAAAACAAAGGAGAGTTAGGGTTTTAGGTCAGTGGTAGAGCCCCCTCCCCCAGCATATGTGAGGTCCTGAGTTCCATTCCTGGTTTTGGGGGCTGGGGCTGGTAAACCACCTCCACCACCATCTACCTACAACCCTGTCTCTCATCAATAACCACAGGAGGTCTTGGCATGTGGATTTACAGTCTTTTTCTCACTGCAAATTCACACACACACACACACACACACGAATATATGAATATTTGTCCACAAATTTAGAGGTGAAAGAAAGGTCACCTCATTAACTTTTTAAAATTTTTATATAATGACTTTCTCTTTCTCCACCCCCCCCCTCCCAACTGAGGATTGAACCCAGGGGTGCTCTACCACTGAGCCACACGCCAGCATTTTTTATTTTTTATATTTATTTATTGTACTGGGGATTAAACTCAGGGCCTCATCACTGAGCCGTATCCCCATCCCTACTTTGGATTTTCCATTAGAGGCCAGTGTCTTACTGAGTTGTTTAGCACCTGGCCATTGATGAGACTGGCTTGCACCACCACGCCCAGTCCCCAGCACTTTTTATTTGGAGACAGGGTCTTGTTAAATTGCTGAGGACGTCCTTGAATTTGTGATTCTCCTGCCTTGGCCTCCTGAGAAGCTGGGATCACAGATGTACACACCAGGACTGGCATTATTGTTCTTTTTATAAAAATAATATATGCTTAACAACAACAACAACAAAAAAAAAAAACCCAAGAAATTTAGAAAGTATACAAAAAAAAAAGCAACACATCACTTAGGATATGTGGGAAAATCATTATGGAATTCTCTCTATACAGCCTCATTCCGTCTGTACAGGATGAACAGATGGGTGGACAGATATGATTTCTAAGAATTGGGATCATAAGCATGGCCTGTGGCATGTGCTTGTCATCCTATTCACTTAGGAGTCTGAGACAGGGGGATTACAAATTCAAGTCCAGCCTCAGCAAAATAGAATGAGAGTTCTCACTAGACAAGAGCTAAACCGGCTTGTACGGTGAGAACAAGGAAATAGAATAAATAGAAGGAAACCCCAACCGGTTAATACCAGGTAACTTTTTTGAATAGGTTAAAGGGGCTTCCTTATTATGCTGACTCAGGTTAGACTAGAATCTCCCTATTTTTTTTTGACTTGAAAATTTATTTCCATCTTTCAACATATATACACATTTCTCATAATTTTGTACAATTTAACCTGTCAATAATTTTCCACTGCTATTAGCCATATTCATTTATTATAAAGGGTCATTGGTATAAGGGAAATCAAGAATTCACATTCTTAGGCAGAAAATGAGAACTGAATAGCAATTTCTTCACTGTAAAGTGAATTGTTATTTAGCATATCCTCATGCTAATATGTGGCTGAACCCTAGCCATAAAGTGCACCCTGGGATTTAAAGGATGTAAGTGTAGCTCAAGTACTTTCATAAAAATCACATCCTTCCTACCATATTATCTTTGAAAAGAAACACTTGAAATTATAATACAGGGGCTGGGGATGTGGCTCAAGCGATAGCGCGCTCGCCTGGCATGCGTGCGGCCCGGGTTCGATCCTCAGCACCACATACAAACAAAGATGTTGTGTCCGCTGAGAACTAGAAAATAAATATTGAAAATTCTCTCTCTCTCCCCTCTCTCTTTAAAAAAAAAAAATTATAGTACATGTCACAAAACCTGTTTGAACATTCTATTCCATTTATGGAATGGCTTTAAATATTATGCATGATAAAGAAAGTACAAAAGAAAAAAAAAGTTAAATCTCACTTCAAGCAATGAGCAGTCTAACCACACCAGTAAAAATGGTACTCTTTTAGTCAAGGCATGACATACACATAAAATTTGAGGCTATTTTACAATTATTCTTTGAATACTTTCAATCTGAATATAATATGAAGTACACAATGATTTTAGGTTTACTCAGCAAGTTCTTTGGACATTGTTTAAATAAGTGATAAAGCAGCACAACACTGGGACTCAATCTTAAATGATAGTACCAAAAAAAAAAAAATCCTATAAAACTCATTTGTCTAGAATTTGTAAAATTGTTTCTGTTTCCCAGCATRATTAAATTGTGATTATTTTCTCAAAGTCTTCCAGTTTGTCAACATACTTGCTTTCTTGGCTACATATTGGCCAGAAATTAACAAGAAAAGTCTTATTTCCTTTCACCTGGCAAAGATGTAGAACCGGATTAACCAAACCCTTTTTATCAGCTGGACTGCCCTCTAATGGACTATGTAAGGTATTCAGCTAAGAGGTCAATGCGACTTGGTTTGACAAGGTAATTCAACAGAAAAAATATAAACCTCTTATATCCCTGACGTTTCCTTGAATGAGTTAAAAAGAAATAGAAAAACCTGTTAGTAAATTAATTTTTACCATGAAAGAAATCAGCAGAGTGCTAGTTCTATAAGTAAACAATTTCAATCATTTTGAAAACTGGTAATGAAAGTTCATGTAGTTTCAATCTTTTCAATCTTGGAGGCAGATCTGAAACAATGGTAGTAATAGGCGGGAGTAACAGGCATACTGTGATGTCAATCTTTTATGAAGACTTGTGTATTAATACAAATCATATTTTTGTTAGTCTATTCACTCTACAGAGGTTTTCTTATGTATAAATATGAGTTACAGTAGACACATGCTGAGTAGTTGATTATCTGTTAAGTCTCGTCACAGCATAAGAACTTTATGGAGCCGTTTCCTCTGTGAAAACATCATCTTGAGTAGCAAGCTGTTTTTCTCTGTGACTCATCCCCAGGCCTGAGATTTGCAGTAATGCAGGACCAGTTTACCATCACTGCCAAAACACTCATAGAGGGTCCCGACTTCCTGGTCTGGGGAAGGAGCAAAGGACTGATTCACATAAATAAACAACTGTTCCCAGGCCACAAGTTTAAGGAACTTCTTGATGAAGTCAATGAGTCCTTGGATGGTTCGGGTTTGCTCTACAGCCCACTTCTTTGTTTTCATTATAGGGGTGTCTCCCACAGCCTTCAGTAGGATGTCAATTTTTTTCTTGTTGTTGCCTGAAGGCTCCTCTGTCCCCGGGGAGACTGCAGCAGAAGATGGGGTCTCTGGAGTGGCTGTTTCTGGGGAGACATCCATAAGTCCTTCACCACCAGCAGCAGCAGTTGAAGGGAGTTGCAACACCGACTCAGGCTCCTCCGCCATATTGCACGGTGGAAAGCGAGAGCCGAATCTCCCTATTTTCATGAAAAACAAAAAAAAATCTTTCCAGATCTATTGCTTCCTTTAAGTTTTAATTCCATGAGGTGGCATTTAGCAGGAGTGACACCATTGTGGCTTCATCTGGTCTGTTGGGGTCTAATTCAGGAGCTCAGTCCAAATCAAGGGCCTTCCATCATTTTTATTTAATAAGACTTTTCTTCAGGGAGCGGTTATAGGTTTCCAGAAAATGGGAGCAGAAAATACAGAGAATTCCATGTATCCCCCACCCCCCACCACATCCCATACCTATTTACCTATTATTGACTTTTGCATAATGTGATAACATTTGTTAGAACTGATGTGCTAATATCCAGAGGTAATTATCGAATACAATTCCAGTTTATATTAGAGTTCATTCTTGCTGTAGTACATTCTGTGGGTTTGGACAAATGCATAATGACTCCTCATTATAATATCAGAGAGAGTATTTTCACTGTCTTAAAGATCTTCTGGGGCTGGGAATGTGGCTCAAGCGGTAACACACTCACCTGGCATGCGAGGGGCGCTGGGTTCGATCCTCAGCACCATATAAAAATGTATCCACCCAATACTGAAAAATAAATATTAAGAAATTCTCTCTCTCTCTCTCTCTCAAAAAAAAAAAAAAAAAGATCTGTGCTCTCTCCATCCTTCCCTCCTCCTAGCCCCTGGTGACTGCTGATTTAAAAAAGTTATTTTTTACTATTTTTAAGTGACACTTAGTAATTGTGCATTTTTATGGGGTGCAGTGTGACATTCGAATACATGCAGATGGTGTGTAATGATCAGACGATAGCTGGTCTTTTCACTGTCTCCACAGCTTCATCTTCAACAATGTCATATTGTTGGAATCATACAATATGCAGGCTTTCAGAGAGACTTCTTCCACTTGGCAACATGCATTTAACTTTTCTCCATCTCTTTTTGTGGTTTGGTAGCGCATATCTTTTTAGCACTGAATAATTTTCATTGTCTGGATGTGCCACAGTTTATGTTCATTCACCTACTGAGGGACATCTTGGTTGCTTCCGCATTTTGGCAAATATGAAAAAAGCTGCTATAAACATCATGTGCTGGTTTTTGTGTGGACATACGTTTTAAGCTCATTTGGGTAGATACCAAGGGGCACGATTGCTGGACCATATGGTAAGAGTATGTTTAGTTTTGTAAGAAACTGTCTTAGCTCAGACTGCCATACAAAAACATTGTAGACCGGGTGGTTTAGACAACAGAAATTTATTTCTCACAGTTCTGGAAGCTGGAAGTCTTAAGATTGAGGTACCTGCAAGGAAGTCGTATGTAGACTCTTGGCTTATAGATGACTGTCTTTTTGCTATGTCCTTGCATGACAGAGAGTTTTGAATTTTGATATAATTCTTATCCTTGTTCTTCTATAGGTAAGGTGGGACTAGTTTTGTTTGTTTTGATTTTGGCTTTTCTTATTTCCTCTCTAGCTTCTTTTTAAAAAAAAATATTTTCCAGTTGCCAATGGATTTTTTTTTTACTGTATTTGTTTATTCATATGTGGTGCTGAGGATCCAACCCAGAACCTCACACATGGGAGGCAAGCACTCTACCACTGAGCTACAACCTCAGTTCTTCCTCTCTAGCTTATTTTAAGATTTTTCTTTGTCTTTGATTTTTCTGCCCTTTGAATATAGTGAACCTATATAAATATTTTATTATTTATCCTGATATATATATATATATATTTTCATGTACTTGTTGATTGATTGTATGTCCTCCTCTGAGAAGAACAGATACAGAGAATCACAACTTTAAAGAGCAAAAACTTGAGAGCAGAAACTGACATATATATATACACATACAAACTTATTTTTTAGGTGTAGAGAATACAACACAATACCTTTATTTTTATGTGGTGGTGAGAATCGTGCTAGGCGAGCGCTCTACCGCTGAGCCACAATCCCAGCCCCTGATTGATGTTTTTGTTTGTTTCTTTCTTTCTTTTAGGGGCAGGTGCTGGGGTTCAGACGCTGGACCTCATGCATCTCATGCATGCCAGGCAAGTGCTCCTCTATTGAGCTACATCTCCAGTTGATGGGTATTTCTGAGCATCCTGTGCCTGTGGCTTGTTTTCCATCGCTAATTTTGAGAAATTCTCAGTCACTATTGCTTCAAATATTTCTTCTTTTCTCTGTCTCTCTCTCTCTGTCTCTTTCTCTCTCTTGAAATAAAACTCATAAAAACATGCTCTCCCCTACTGGGTCTTCCTAGAATTTTTAACTTTCAAACTTATCTACACTGAATGACCATCCATTTCTCAATTACAGTTCAGGTTTTTCTACCCAACTACTAGTGCTGTCAGTTTCTGCTCTCAAGTTTTTGCTCTTTAAAGTTGTGATTCTCTGTATCTGTTCTTCTCAGAGGAGGACATACAATCAATCAACAAGTACCATCTCTAGCATCTCTAGCAGTCAGAGAAATGCAAATCAAAACCACCCTAAGATACCATCTCACTCCAGTCAGAAAGGCAGCCATTATGAAGTCAAACAACAACTAGTGCTGGCGAGGATGTGGGGAAAAGGGTACACTTGTACATTGCTGGTGGGACTGCAAATTGGTGCGGCCAATTTGGAAAGCAGTATGGAGATTCCTGGGAAAGCTGGGAATGGAACCACCATTTGACCCAGCTATTGCCCTTCTCGGACTATTCCCTGAAGACCTTAAAACAGTGTACTATAGGGATAGTGCTACATGGATGTTCATAGCAGCACAATTCACAATAGCTTGACTGTGGAAACAACCTAGATGCCCCTCAATAGATGAATGGATAAAAAAAATGTGGCATTTATACACAATGGAGTGTTACTCAGCACTAAAAAAATGACAAAATCATGGCATTTGCAGGGAAATGGATGGCACTAGAGCAGATTATGCTAAGTGAAGCTAGCCAATCCCTAAAAAACAAAATACCAAATGTCTTCTTTGATATAATGAGAGCAACTAAGAACAGAGCAGGGAGGAAGAGCAGGAAGAAAAGATTAACATTAAACAGAGACATGAGATGGGAGGGAAAGGGAGAGAAAAGGGAAATTGCATGAAAATGAAGGGAGACCCTCATTGCTATACAAAATTACATATAAGAGGTTGTGAGGGGAAAGGGAAAAGAACAAGGGAGAGAAATGAATTACAGTAGATGGGGTAGAGAGAGAAGATGGGAGGGGAGGGGAGGGGAGGGGGGATAGTAGAGGATAGGAAAGGTAGCAGAATACAACAGTCACTAGTATGGCAATATGTAAAACAGTGGATGTGTAACTGATGCGATTCTGCAATCTGTATATGGGGTAAAAATGGGATTTCATAACCCACTTGAATCAAACGTATGAAATATGAAATGTCAAGAGCTTTGTAATCTTTTGGAAAACTAATAAAAAAACTTAAGAAAAAAAATTTTTAAAAAGTGAATGGCAAACAACTTCTGTTTCTAAAACTAGTATCATGGCTAATGGCAAACTATATATATATATATATATTTCTTTTTTTTTTAAAGAGAGAGAGAGAGAATTTTTTAATATTTATTTTTTAGTTTTCAGCGGACTCAACATCTTTGTTTGTATGTGGTGCTGAGGATCGAACCCGGGCCGCACGAATGCCAGGTGAGCATGCTACCGCTTGAGCCACATCCCCAGCCCCAATATATTTCTATATATTTTTTCCAACAGAAAAAATATCTAAAAAAGTAGGCAAAATTTAATCTGTTTAAAGGCATCAAGGAGCAATTGAGGCAGTGAGGACTTGAGGGGTGAAGGTCAGGGAAAAGAAACAGCAGAGAAGGTAACCACAGCCCCAGAGAAACTGATTTAGGTGTAGGCTTTTTCACCAAGAAAGTTGAAGATGTAAGTGATAGAGACCATTTATTATCAAAGAAGAAATAGTTCTGGGTGGAGAAGCACATGCCTGTAATTCTAGGGACTTGGGAGGCTGAGGCAGGAAGATTGCAAATTCAAAAGCCAGCCTCAGCAACTTAACAAGACTCTAAACAACTTAGCAAGGCCCTGTATGAAAATAAGAAATAAAAAGGGCTGGGGATGTGGCTCAGTGGTTAAGTGCCCCTGACTATAATTCCTGGTACCAAAGAGAAGAAGAAGAAAGAGGAAGAGGAAGGGGAGAGGAAAAGGACAAAGAAAAGAAATAGAAAATATGAATGAAGTAATCTATTAAAATCCAAACCCCAATGAATACATCTGAATGCCAAGGTGATAGATTTCCTTGCAGTTGATACACATGAAATCTTTCGGAGGTGTTAGGATGGACTTAGGCCTGAGCCTAAGCAACTYCATTTTAAAAACTCCAGTTTGAAACCTGCAGTCTCACCAGGCACACCCACAGAGCCCTCCAGTATGGCCTCARACAAGTTACTTCCCCTCACCCTGATAAACAGAGTGAAGCCTCTGGCAGGCTGT